AAAATCTAAAGTATTCCTAAAAGATCCATCTCGGGGCCTTATGCTTCACGAGGATGGCGGTGACAATTTTTTATTCGGATTGCTGCGAGAGACCTTTTTCTCCTCTCTTCCTCCTCTTCCTCTTGATGCGCGCACGAGGGAGAAAGCGAATTCGTGAGCAATAAACGTCGTTCCGGCCGGCCGAAAGTGAGGCGGGGACTTTCGCATGAGGAATTAATCTCGCGTCCTGATTAAATTCGTTAGCGATATTGCCGAGCCGGGGGTGACCGGGGGCGAAGAGGAAATTACGATGGAGACTGGTTCTCGTTGCGAGAGCGTCACGAGCACTCTGTAATGAGTAAGTAGCAATGGTCGGCGGAGCAGGTCCGCGCGCTTAATTCAATATCATTGAAACGCGATCTTGTCAATTAGCCGTGTAATTTTGGTATTTAGTATCTCGCTCGCGGAGCCACGTAATCAATCTACGTAGGAATTAGACATTCTAACGTTACGCGTATCAGCTTGCATTAATATAATTCCGCTCAAACAGCCCGCGACGCGTTTAACGTTTTAACTTTCAATCAGGTCTCTATAATTCCATCGCGATTGAACGCGCGCGCGCGCGTCTCTCTCTCTCTCTCTCTCTCTCTCTCTCTCTCTCTCTCTCTCTCTCTCTCTCTCTCTCTCTCTCACTCTCTCTTTTCCTCTGGCGGAAGAAGGAACATCACGCGAGACGAGGAGGAGCGACGTTTTGCATCTACCGGATAGCGGCCATAATTACGGCCGCTCTCGATAAAATGGTCGACACGACGTAAATCGGATTTAATTGCGCCCGGAACGCCGTGGCGGATGTCTGAGCCGCGCGGCGGTGTATCGAATCGCAGAAAATTAGCGTTGTTTACTTCGTAACGGGCGGACGAGCCGCGGCCGCGATTGATCCTAACATGCGGGAGATAACGGGAGCCTCGTGTATTATCGTGGCTACGCCGCAACACCGCGTCGCTCGCTATCGCGCATCGGCTCCGCTCTTGTAATTCGCGCTCGTCGAATTTCAATGAGAGACGCGCGCGCCGCGTTCTAAATTACACCGTAAAGCGCGCACTTGCGATGCTCACAATAGGGATACCGATTTCTTTTCAAACAGATCGATTTAAAGATCGATCGAAAGATTCGAATCACGGAGAAAAAGATCAATCTTTAAAAAATCGGTTTATAAAGAATCGGTTTCAGAAAATCAATTTGAATCGATATGCGTGCAGAGTGGAACCACTCATTAAAGTATATTGTCTGTCAAATTTCTACATTCTAAAATAGACCTCGTGTGTTATATTACATATAGTTTAATATGAATTAAAGAAATTAAACATATGCTATTCTTTTAGTTGTGTTCTGTGTGTGTGTGTGGCCAGAACAAAATAGAAAAAGATCTTTAAATCTTTATGCCAAGGGTTTAATTAGTTTGATTAAACGTCAATCAAGGGTTTTTAAACGTTAAATAAGAATTAAATAAGAAATCACGTTTACTATTATATGCATATACATATGTATACAATGTATATTATTATATGGAGTGGCTGTGATTGGTTCGCGCGTTTCGTTCCACTGAAAATTCTCGCCCATGGGACATCGGTCTAAAGGCAATATAATGTGCATTGTGCAACCACTGAGTGAGTTCCAATGTTACAACTAAAAGAAGTAAAAAAAAACCATATTACTAGTAGAAAGTGAAAAAATCGTGTTGGCGATTTTCAGAATTTACAGATCGATCCTTGAATCGATTCAGTTCCAGAAAATCGATTTGAAATCGATCTTTTAGGCTCTTTAGGATCTTTAGGATTAATCGATCTTCGATTAAATCAGCATCCTGACTCACAGCGGCCGTCCGCGGAAGGAAGAGAGACGGCTGACTTTGACGAGCGTAGAGAGACTTCCATATGTGAACTAGACTGCTGACTTTGAACGATGGAATGGCGGTGGATGATGGACGCTGTATCATTTTTAGTTTGTACAATGTGTGTGTGTGTGTGTGTGTGTGTGTGTGAGTGCCACGAGTGGGCAGTTCACGACTATTTTAATCAAGGAAATAGTGCGTCATGTTTCGTTTTGCAAAGTTAAAACTGTAAATATTTGTCTCATATTTTTTCGTATTTTTCGTCCTCCTCTCTTGGGCGCCTATCGTCCACCAACGTGTTTCAGATCCTTGATTAATAAATATAAATTAAGCTCTTTACAGTATATATATATATGTATATTACAAATATACAAAGTGTACAAAAGTACCGGGACGGCGAAATATCTCGAAAATTAAGTATTTTAGGAAAAACAAACGTTTCAGAAAAAATGTGTATGATTTTAAGGGAGACATAAAACAACTATATCATTTTGTTTACAGATGACACCACTTTTGGAATATTCACTAATCATTATTTTTGTTAAATGGAATTCTTTTTTATTATATCATCTTTTTCTATCGATTAATTTTAACAACTTTTATCTAAAACAGTTTTTTATTTACCTAATATTTTTTGAGATATTTAAGGAAAACTTGATAAAAAAGAAAGAGTATTATACTTTTTTACTTTACTTAATCTCAAAAATATATTGTTACAATAGTGCCCTAACTTTTGTAAACTATCAACCTTTGGAAGTTTAAAAATTATTAAATTAACAAAAGTCAGGGCGCTATTGTAACAATATATTCTTGAGACCAAATAGAGTAAAAAAGTCTAGTATCATTTTTTTTTCCGACAAATTGCGAGATATTATAAGTTAAATATTGCGAAAACTTTTCCTTAAATATCTCAAAAAATATTAGGCAAATAAAAAAATGTTTCAAACAAAAGTTGTTAAAATTAATTGGTAGAAAAAGATAATGTAATAAAAAATTGAGATTTCCTTTAAGGAAAGTAATGATTAGTGAATATCTCGGAAGTGGTGCCATATCTATAGACAAAATAATATAATACAATAATATTATAATATTATTATTATTATTATATTATAATAATAATATTATATAATTAAACAATATAATATAGTTATTTTATGTCCCTTTTAAAACCATACAACTTTTGCTTGAAACATTTTTTTTAATGATGCTTAAAAGTTTTTGAGATGTTTCGCCGTCCCTTTTTTACTTACTTTTTATACATCCTGTATATAAATTCTTAATATAAATTCTGACATTCACACTTCAGCAGATTTATATTAGAATAAACTCAAAATTATATAGCCACCCCCACACAATTCCCTTGAGATACGTTTGTGTGAAAAATCAGCGGTCTAATTGACGTACAAAACTCGTCGGCTGCTTAGAAGCCGTATCTTTGTCTATCGAGTGAATTTTCATTGACCAACGGCTTCCTACAATCCCCGCTTAAAGCTCAGCTTTCCTAACACCAGCAAACAAGAAGAGGACAGACTGATTATAGTTTCTCCTATATTTTGATGAGAGAGAAATCACCCAATGCGCGGATGTCACACGAAATATATTCGCTAGGTGGGTGGGAGACGCGAGAGGGGCAAAAAGAAAGATGTCGATAGTCGCAGTCGTCGTCGAGTTAGCAGCGTAAGTGGCGGATAAATCTCGCTTGAAGGAAGAAAGGAGTGAGACCTGCACGGGGGCGAGGAAGTATACCTCGATTCTGCTTTCTGCCGCATAACTTGCGCGCGATGAAGCGCGTCTATTGGAAAGAATTCTTACTTCGCTCTTTTATTCGCGGCGCGTCAGGTGACGTCCAGCGCGCGGCGTGTTTCACGCGAGATCCTCCGTCGGGCTTCCACGCATGCGGAAAAAAATGATAGCCACTCGCGCGGCATATCGGCCGAGAGCACCGACCGACCACGTTTGAAATAATGTCCCGAGACGATCGTGCCTTGAATTCGCCGGCGAGCAGCGCGACGAGCATGGCGAGCTTTTCATCACGCCCGGCAACACGAGTATCGACGACGACTCGGCCCGTTCTCGGCGACGTCGACTCGACAACTTGTTGGAAGAGCCCCTTTTACTCCCCGTCCCGCGTCTCCGTGTAACCTCGCCCCCCCCCCCATTAACTCCGAAAGTAACGCCTTATTCCGAGTATCGAAGATTCAGCGGCGAAATCGAAGATAACGATTCCGGCAGAATTGTCCGGCTATCTCCCGCCGGAATCGTAGAAGTTTCAAAAAATTAACAAGTTATCAGCCGCTTCGGATAATTAATAAATTAGAGTGCGATCGAGAGAAATTATATTGCAAACACTGAATATTAAAAATGAGGTGAAGATTATACACGCTGTAAAAACTGAGAATTAAAAGTAAATCATCAAAATCATATGATAAAAATTAAAAATTAAAACGACCACATGAAATTGCACATTATAGAAATGGAAGATTAAAATCTTTCAAATCTTTTAAAACAACGCTGCTTGAAGGCTCAAAGATTCTTCGTAATTCTGATTTTAAAAGATTTTAATTTCTATACATGTATATATATATACTTTTTGTTTGTTTTTGGTTCTCCTTCTTTTCTTTTTGTGTTGCCATTTCCACTCTACTTATTTTCAGGTTTCTAAATGTCCGTTCCTATTTTTTCTCTCTCATTTGTTATCTTTCAATTTCTCCATAGACGATATGCGATATCGAATATAAATGATGTATAAAGTTGTATCAAAGGCGTCTTCTCCCGTCAATCGCGAAATCAGCAAATAAAGCAAATAAATACGAGTAAACAAATTATAAATAAAATATAAATAATATTATAATATAAAAATATATTATATTATGGTTGTTACATTTTATTATTTATATAAAATATAAATAATAAAATATACAAAAGTATAAATGCTGTCATTAAAGACCGCGTCAATCTCATCAGTCGCATCCTCGACAAATCCATCAAAATTTTCGCACTTGGCGCCCTCAACAACAGAGAGCCGTGCTCAAAGGGACGAAGGGCCGAAGTGTCCTTCCCCCGATTAAGCACCCCGCAACATTCCCTCACGCATTAACCCGATATTTCCCGGTGCTTGCCGGTGTTCCAGACATGGAGCTGCCGGACCACTCGAAGGTCGGCAACCGCAGACTGGAGGACGACGCGGACGAGTCGCTGGGCAATCGTGATCACAGACTGAACCACGTGTACCAGGGCTCCCTGCGGGAGATGGGCTCGACCCTGGAGCCGATGTTCGACGCGGACGACAATTCGGCGTCGACCACGTCGAGGGAGAGCGCGCCGCCCGCCTTCGGCGTCGTCCTCATCGGCCTCGCGCTGCACCACTTGCTCGCTTCGACGTAAGATAGACGTAACACACCCCACGACTAAACCTGAACCGGCTCGCCGCAGAGCTCGAGAGTGCGCGACTCTCCCGGCCGCGTCTTCCGCGACCCAGCCCGGTCGTTGACGTCGACATCGCGACGGCGACGACGAACAAGTAGCATCGCTCGCGACCGCGCGATCGGGACATCGCGCGAGACTCACCACGGACGAGGAGATCGGACATCGAAGATCGCCATGGCAAGAGGAAAATGGCGGGGGAGGGAGGAGGGGGAGGAGGGAAAAAACGATCGCGGGAGCATTAAACGCGAGCGCGTAACGCATAGCTAGCGCGCGCGCGCGCGGTGCGTGTGTGTGTGTGTGTGTGTGTATCCTGTGTGTGTCGTGTATGTCTGTCTGTCTGTGTGTGTATGTGTGTGTGCGTGTGTGTGCGTGTGTATATAGTACATATCACAGTTTTAATTACGCGTAACAATCTTACGGCGGTCCGGCGCTCCCTCCGAGCAGACGCAGACACGTGGCCGTTTATTTGCCTCGTTCGCGCCGCATAAACTGGCGGACTAAAATTACATATGCGCGAATTCGCGTGGCGGTCTCCATGAACGCGAACCCAGCGCGGTAATTAAACACCTGCCGGCCGGGCATTCTGATGATGAAGGAAACGCATTTGTAAAATCCCATTTGAAAAGCGCGGCAACAAACGTTAATATTAATTTCCAGGCGGAAATAACGGAGGCACTTGGGGCGGGCGGGCGAACGAGAGAAAGAGAGAGAAAGAGGGGGGGAGGGGGGAGAGAGAGAGAGAGAGAGAGAGAGAGCGGCCGTGTGTATATTAACAAACGAGGAGCACGTTAAATTAAGTCGCGCGTGACGTGCGAAAATGCGGCGCTCGCGCCGGCGGAATGTCGACATGCGAACGCTCAAAGGGTTGCGATACGGACGACTTTTGTGTTCAGAGGAGACAAGCGGCAGCTTTGTGACCGCCGCCGCCGCTCGGACGAATATTTCAAATATCGTTGGACAGATTTCGAGCGTTACAGTGAGAATCGGCTGGGTTGCTTTTTCACGTGTCACGCCTCTGCGCTGGTCGCGGGTTTTTCCCTCTCAGCGATCACTTCGGCAACGACAACGGTAACGGCAACGGTTACTGTTAAAGTGTCGCTTTACGGATATATAAAATACATCTGCCAATATCCGTATGAGAGACGGAGAGGGCAGCGGATCGAGCGGAAGAAAAGCCCCGAAACTTGTGGGAGGATTCGGAGAAGTTTCTGGTCACACTCTCGTTAATTCTTCAATAGCACTGACGAGGTGAAGACTTATTTCGCAAGATGAGTAACAGTGGAGTGGAGGAAGGTGACTAGCGATATTTTGCCTGCGGCACACGGTGCGTTTTTCGCGTTAAATGCGTGCGAGACACCGTCGCCATCTGGACGCCAGACGCGCATTCACACTCGGGCAGAAAAGCAGAAAACAGAAAGGCAACAGCCAATCACAAGTGGCGCTGATAGTCTATCCTTCTCTTGAGAGAGAGAGAGAGAGAGAGAGAGAGAGAGACAGAAGAGAAGGACCATCAGAGCCACTTGCAATTGGCTGCTGCCTTTCTGTTTTCTGCTTTTCTGCGTGGTGTGAATCTGTCCTTAGAAATTTGCTACGCTGCGTGCTGTCGTGCATGTTAGCAAGCACATGTTGATTTTCGAAGTTAAGTTCGGTGCTATTTTCCTGACGTGATTTCGTACTAGCTAAGAAAGATAGACGTATTGAAATTAAAAGTGAAACAGTAATGAATATTCACATATACAGGGTGAGGAAGGAGTACGGAAACCCCGAAAAATCCCGAAAAGTATAAGTTTACAGAAATATGTTTCGAGTAAAAGTAGGATTTAAAGAGATCTGTTTACTGATCTTATCAGCTTGACTTTGAATAGCATCGTCAAGGTCGGAGCGAGGTCGAGCGGAATTTTTTTTTTAATGCGACCTTGTTCTGACTTGGCGATGCCACCCAAACATAAAACTCTGTTTATATATATAATTAAAAAAAAGATTATAATTCGTATGATCATTTGTGTTGCACAAACGATTCACATATATATATACATAAATATTTATATATATGTTACATTATTTATAAATTTATTGCTACATATTATTTATGTATATACTTATGTACATATTTACATATGCATATGCATTATATACGAGCTATAAAATGCTGATAAACATGATAAGCGAAGGAAGACTGACTATTATATAATGATAGGAGAAAGGAGGCGCGAAGTGAAAATCAAACGAAAAATATTCGAGTCAAAAAAGCAGCATCGTCAAATTAACAGCACGCAGCATAGGCTGGACGAATCCGTCGGCAAAGCCAGCGACGAAACACTCACCGTGTGGCTTAGGCTTTATTGTGAAAGAGCAACCTTGATGTTACGTACGTCAACCTTGTATATTCTTGAAATATTTTATCACGCAGTGTGTCTATTTTACATCACTTTCGTTTATCCGGAACGAGGCACCAGAGTCTGCCCGCATAAATTTCTCAGGATTTTCCCGGACATAGTGTAAAAAAAAATTAAAGTTATCAAGTTTGTTCCAAAATTCGTTGTTCAATTACATACCCATTGGGATCAATCCCGATTTCCCAAATAAATAAAGTCGTGAGATTTCAAGTGGAAGAAGCCAAACAGATTCCATTCGCTCCATCCAACGTTCTCCCATTTTTCTTTTTTCTTTTTCTTTTTTGTAACGTGTGATGTTGAAGTTTTATATTTAATGTAGAAATATAATAAATATTGTTTCACCTCCAGATATTCCTGATTCATTTCAAAAAGAAATTAAGCAAAACACTTAAAAGTACTCTCTAAGTATTTACGCTTGCAAAGTGCGTGCAAATATTCAAAGCATTTCAGACCTTTTGTTCAACTCTAATATAAAATAGAAATGAGGAAGGGGAAAGCTTTTTGGGAAAATGTTCGACATAATATCACGCTTCTCACTTCTGTTTGGCTTTCTCCATTTAGAACTTTATTTACTTGGCAAACCGGCAAATTGATTCTAATTGCTGTCATAACTGAACAATTACGCGAACACTTCTGATCTGAATCTTCGTGGATTCCCCAATTGGGGCCCGTCATCTTTCGGCGGAAATCAGGATGAGTGGCCAATCCTAGATCCCGGAAACTTTCCCATGCGGGGCTCGGGTCGAGATCGCACTACACCCCCCCCCCCCCAATTAGACCCCAAGGAATGCTCCACGAGGCTCTCAGTTTTCACAGGGAGAGACGACCGGCGGTGCCGCCTCTGCATAAAAGCCAGTCCACATCCCCGCTCGTCGATCCGACGCAGCCGCTCTTCCGCCGAACGCCCGTGTAAATTAACAGCTTAACGAATATCGGGACGAAATGTTAACGGCAGACCGAAGATCGTGAAATTTCGCCGTCACCGTCCCCTCCCCCCACCCCTCCTGCCCCCTCGAGCCGCGATTGTCCGTCTGCGGCTTAACGAGACGTCTCGTTAGCGGCCGCATCTCGCGCGCTCGACGTCACCGGCCAATGACGTAATTATTAAATCGCCGATACCTTTTTCTCGCTCACACTCGCGCGAACGGAACGTGTCGCGTCTCGCCGGGCGAGGCGTTACACGCGGAATCAATTACGCGAACGTCGCTCGCACGTCGAGTCGCCGAAAGCGGAAGTCGCGCGTCCCCGCTCCTGCGCCTCGCTCCGGCCGGGGCGACTGCCGCGCGAGAAATCGCGCGCGTTTAATTAACGCCGCGATTCCGAATCCGCGAGTCGATCGAAGTCTGCTCTCCGCCGCCACCGAAGTCTAATCGAGCCGAGCTCGCGCGGGAAGTCATCGAGGTCGAGAGCAAGGAAAATCTCGCGGAACGAGCGAATCTCCTAGGCAGAACAGAAAATCATGACGACATCAAAGTGACAGCAAAATGATGAGAAAATGATCGAATCATGGTGAAAAAATGAGTTTTCCACATCATTTTGATGTCATCATGATTTTCTGTTCTTTCTGAGCTCCAAGTCGCGTTCATCGGCGAAGGTTGCCACGCTATTTTTCGGCTGCCTTTCGGAACGCATCCGTCTTACCCAACGGAAGAGCGCTCCCATCGAAAGATGAATTCTCCCATTGGACGAAACGGGCGCGTCTCGGGACTCGCGCGAAATATAAAAAAATTAAAAATGCTCGCGGACAAACTTCGCGTTCGCGAGTGTGCCAAGCGGTTTGAAAAAGCGGTTCTTTTTCCAGCGAAGTCGGGGGCGTGTTAAACGGTCTCTCATGCTTCGGTGGGAGAGAGAGAGAGAGAGAGAGAGAGAGAGAGAAGTTCACAGAAGAAAAACGTAAAAGTCTTCATTATATCCCTACTTGTTCAGAAACGCTGCAAAATCGAAATTCCACGATTTAATTTCATAAAATACTATCACAATTCGATGAGATACTCTACATTGAGAAAAAATTGTATTAAAATTAAACAAATGTTTCTTCGAATACGACTGTGAATACATTTATTTAAATTAAGTAATTATTTTCTAAAATTCAAGGAAAAAGTTTACATTCAGAGAACCTCTGTATTTAATTTTAGAAATTGGTCGCTTAATTTGAATAAATATATTCACAGTCGTATTCGAACAAATACTTGTTTAATTTTAATACAATTTTTTCTCAGTGTATAGCACTTTGTTACTGAGATGCATTATTATAAAATCGAGAAATTTATCATAATAAAATATTGCCATGATTCAATGGAATGTACTATAGTATTTTATTGCTAAAATACATTATTGTAGAGTCGGGAAATTCCGTGATTTGATTATAATAAAATACTGCCACGATGTAGTAAAATACTATAGTATTTCATTGCTGAACTATATTATCGTATAAAGTCGTGGGTTTCTTTAATTTTGCAATGTTTCCGGAATATTAATGTCAAGCTATGCTAGTATTTTGCAAATCTACATCTTTACAACGTTGCTGCAACGCAGATGTGACGATCTGCGCTGTGCAAGTTTGATGCGCTTTTAACTTCGTCGGGGAAGACGTGAAACCGTTTCGTAAACGCGAATATTGAGATCAAATATTAGAGATGAGCAAGAGTTTTAGTCCTTTCTTCAGCCCTTTAATGTAAAAATTTTCAATTGAGATATCTTCCCCTCGGTTTGCGTTTTTATAAGGTTGGTATTTAATTTTCCAAAACACCATTCACACACTATGATTCATCGGTGCACATAACCTTGAAAATAACAACTG